ATTCTTCATCTGTAAGTAGATAGAAATTATAGTCGACGACAAATATTTTTTGTCTGCGGTTAAAAACTGAATGACAATACTGTGAGAGTTGTAACAATCGATCTTCTTACCTGAGTTTAGTGTTTTATCACCAAAAACACGATTCGTTTTCTTTGATTTTGACAAAGTTTTCTCTAGAGCTCCTCTCTGATATTCAACCAAAGACGAAATGCCCCACAATGAGACAAGCCACGCATTWGGAGAAGGAAAAAACATTGAACTTGTTTYTACATGTTGGATTAAAATAGAAGCAATCGTAACGATGTGTAGCGTGACAGCTTCTCACTCACAGTCACGCTTAACTATAACAATGACAGGGGTACCGACTGACTCAAAAGAGACATGGGGGAGGGGGAGGTTGTTGGTGGTGCCGTCAGCTGGGTTGGGGCTGAGAAGGTAGATACAATTGACACGCACCATCCCMCCTTCGGCCATGTGCAATTCTCTCMCATGGAGGGTATGAAGGGTCGATGCGTGACATTGTTTCTCATAAATGATATCCCGTGAGGGGTACACAGAGGTTATGTTATTGTCATCATTCTTCACGTCATACAATGKCTGGTGTGTTTTTGTTGTTGTTTTGTTGTATTTTTTACCTTCTTTAAAGGATTTAAGATCATCACAAAAACGACACGACWTGACTTTCTTGACTGAAATAATTATATCCTGCGGAGAGTTTGATAAGGATTCAAGTTCAGTAAAATATTCACGTTGTGTTAAATAGAAAGTCGCTTACTAGAACTATAACATGAGTAGTTCTACAAACCATAGAGTTTAAACCAATAATCAGAATATAAATCAAGATAGGCAGGATACATAGGTTTTAAGGTATCAATTATTTCATGGTAATACAGCGAAAATATTGTCTTTCATAAKKTAGTTTGRATAGTAATAACAATAACAGATCACACGTATATAGTTYGAAYAATTGGACKCRGAAGTATGATGGGTTTCCTGTCTTAAATTCAGGCACAGGAATCCCAACTATCTAGGAGGTGGTGTACATCATATGTCACGTAATCTCGTTATTACTGCTATCTGTGTTTTTGGTGTTGCTTTCCTTTGTAAATTGCTGCTCAATATTTTACATATCAAACTAACGAAGGGCGACCTCAAAAAGAGGTTTGCTTAGACATATAACTTAATTTATTCATCGGTAACACAATGGATATCGCTACAATACTGTAACGCTCACATTTGATAACAAATAGTCACGTGATATGGTATCACACCCTTGCCATAAATACGATGTCGTGACCGACTATTTTATGCAGCAATTTTTTTTAAATATGAAACAAGTCACGCTATGTATCTGCTCTGTTACGTATTGAAACAATAGACCTAATCGSCTAACGGCGTTGCTATGTACGTTGCCACCCAATTCAAATCCTGTGGGAAAAAGAGCTTTTGTTTCTAAGAATTCAACTGTGAAATGAAAATACAACAAACAAAGAAACTTACTCCCGGGTGGTTTGAATTGGGTTGAAGCCGATTAGGTCTATTTCGCGACATTTACTGCTTTTCTTAACTATGTCAAGCGATGTTTGAAGAG